CTCGCACTGCACCAACAGTGATGGTTCATGTGATTTCGCAAAGACCTTGCGAACTTATGCTGGCTCATTTCTTTCGGGAACAAGCAGAGCAAGTGTGGAAGGGGATGGAGTCAAGATTGCCTTTGGTGGATCTTGCAAGTGAAGCTTTTTCACCTGCCGCTTCTTGCGTCTCTGATTACATCACTCTGCTTACTCTGGGCAACTCTCAGCTTCAGTATTTCCTTGGAGGTTATGGGCCTGAAAGAAATTTGCCGTTTGTCTCTAGTAGCTTGGGATGAGGGACACTCAAATGTTTATTATATAAATAGGTCGGTCATTAGCTTAACATGATGAGCGGCTTCATGCCCTTTGCAGGTGCTGATGAGTCTACCAGGAGACTTTTCTTTGTCATTTGCACTGCGCAAGCTGCAGAGTGCTGGCGACGTTTGATCTTGCGCTACCAAACATGGCCGTGGAAGCTTGCCCAAACAATGGACACAAGGCTCCCACTCAAGAGGAGGCGCCAAGTTGAACAAGAATTCTTAGCAGCGCGTGGATGTCAGTTAGATCATGCTTCTGCGCGCATCCGCAGGTATTTGTCCCATTCCCTCCAGGATGACATCACTTGCCAGAAGTTTCAAGACCTTGTCCTTGTTCTTTGCACAGGCAAGGTGAGCAACATGACTGTGGAGAACGGGTTTGCTAGGGCAGCCAGCATGCGCAGCTACATGCGAGGCCAAGTGCAAACAAGCCAAACCATGGCTAGCAAGCACTTCCTCGCTGAGATCAAATTTCTTCATCGGTTGAACTTACAGGAGCAAGAGCGTATTGCAGCAATCAAACAGGAGCAGCAGCTGGCAAGCATGATGTGCAGTGGCAACGCACAACTTCACATCACAGACGAGGATCTGGAGCCACTACCCTTGGTTCCTTGCACATCATTTGGAAATGAGATTGTTCCATTGCAAGAGGAGCCACTGCATCATTCAGAGGAGTTGCCAAGGCGCAGCAGAAGCGGTGGAACAAATTCGTGGACTCTGTTTCGAAAGGTTTCGTTCAGCAAGTCTGTCAGAGCACCAGGTGAGTCCAAAGCTGAGTTCCAAAGGCGCTGTTGGTCAAATGCCAGAAAAGAATGGGCTGCTGTGAAAAGAGACTGTCCGCAAGAAGTGGTGACTTTGAGTAGTCAGGCCAAGACTATCAACCAACGCGATCAGGAAGACAAATCCACTTCCAATCACTCCTCTCAGCTTGCATCTCAGACAGCGCACCCAATTCCAGCTGCAATTTTGGACATGGAGGTTAATTCAGCGCCTGGATTTGTCGCTCGAAACAGTTCTCAGTGGAGACAGAACCAGTCAGAGATGGTGAGCGACACAGCTGCTTTTGAACCCATCTGCGTTGAGTCACAGTGCCCTCACATTTGTGTTCACACCATGAACCAAGAAGGCAAGCGTGGATTCCAGTTGTTTAGAGATGCTTTGCGCGCTGTTGTTCGTGGGTTGAGCAAGTCGAAGATTCGCGGTGAATGTGTGATTAGACTGTGGGATCCTGATCTTGCAAACGCAAGTTCGTCATCCACAAGCAGGCCCAAATGGGAAGAGATCTACTATGCTGCCTTTGCTGCCTTCAAACCATTTGAGTTGGTTCTTTGGAAATTTGTGCGTTCCAGCAGCTCTGCAGATTTTGAACCTTGCATTAAACTATGGGTATTGTCTTCCCAATCCCCTTGTTCTTACCATTGGCTCTATGACTGCATGAGTGCATGATTGTTTATGGATAATTCTTCTGCGTTTGAGGCTGTCCATTTGTGTGGTGGGCAATGTCTTTACATAAGTGGTCCTGCGTGTATAGAAATCAAGTAGAAATCGAGGAAAAGGTCTGGTGGTCAAGCCAGACTCCAAGCGCGAGGGAATATCAATCCTTCAATCCTTTCCACTAATTGGTTGTTCATAATGTTGACACTACTCTTGGACTCTTGCACCGAGGAAGTCTATCCAGTGGTTTGGACAGAGGAGCTTGGAGGGCGGCAGCAAGCATTCCTTCTGACCTTGGACATGGCTGCTAATCATTTCTCCAAGCGTGCTCCATCTGGATGTCTGATGCAGGTATCAAAGAACTGGCGAGTAGTTTCAGGCCCATCTTGCTGTACTCTATGTGTTGATGAGTGGAGCAGTGCGCAGAGTATTGCAGATTGGGAATGTGAATGTGTGGCAAACCCTGAAGAGATTGATGAGGAGCTGTCAAGCGTTATGTGTTGCTTCAAGGACCTTCAGAATGCTTGCAATCCTTCCATCAAGGTGGAAGCCAAGGAGTTGTCTTCCACCAAGAGAAAACCACAAAGATCCAACGCAAGCAGCAGCTCCTCAACTGCTTTCGTCACCTTTGGTTAACTGGTTCAACTCTTTGGTTGATTGGTGATGTAATGATTGTTTGTATGGTATGGTTATTGTTCAGCCATACAATTAAATTGTTAGTTTGTTTTCACTGTTTGTATTTCTGTAATATTATAGAAAATATTTTATATATATATATACTTATATAGAGTATTACATTATCTGAGTTATTGTTCTATGATACATATGTATGTAACATTTAAACGTATATATATATATATGTATAAATATATACATACAAACAATACAGTCCATGTCACAAGGGCCTTGCACCACTCTATCCCAGGTAAGCGTTCCAAGCAAGCTACACATCCTTGTCCTGCAGAACCTGAGAAGACTCAAACAGCTGCTGATGTGGCGGTCTTGGATGCTGAAGAACAGGAGCGTTCAGATGATCGAGAGGCATGGCGTAGCAGCCTGGTAGAGTGTGATGCTTTGCCAATGGATGACAAGGGCTATGTCACAGCAACCATTCGGGGTACAAACAGAAAAATTGGACCCTAGATTGGTTGAGCGTTCCTTTTGCATACTTACTTTCATACTACATACTAATATGCATACTTTCATATTTCATTTATTTCCCTTTTACCCTGTTATGTTTGTTTGCTTTGCGAGTGGGACTCGGGCAAGGACGCATCATAGAGTTCAAGCCAGACCGTGGGGCAAAGCAGCACAGCATGAAGGTCCAGTGCTACCTCCACAGCAAATGTTCTGTTTGGAAGCGTGTTCAAGACCTACCGGAGTCTCCAGGGCAATTGATGCAGGACTGGCTGCTTGTAGGCCTGTCCATGCCAAACCGCAATGATGCAAATATACATTTGGCTGAGTGGCTATCCTTAAATTGGAACAAATTGGGTGAATTAGAAGAGGGTGTGAAGTAGCATTAATGACTGGTGCTATAAACAATGCTGACTCTTTGTGTTCTGTCCAAGGTGGGATAACTATGTTCGCATTGCTCGGTGAGGGCCTTCCTTGCGTGCACTTTTCACACTGACTCAATTCAATAGACATGGGGACATTACATAGGGTGGTTTGCAGGGAGCAAAAAAATGAAGTTCGCATCTGCCGACTATAGGACGTGGTATAGGATGTGTACTCGTTCACCCTGTACCGTGTACCTGTACCCGTGTACCACTGTACCCGTACCAATGTACCCCAAATTAGTAGACCTTAATAAGGCCTACTATCTTGATAGTAGGGCTTAATAGGCAGTACTAAAAACGGGTACATATACTGGGTACAGGGTGCAGGGTACACGGTACAGGGTACAGGGTACACGGTACAGGGTACACGGTACAGGGTCCAGTCCCCTGGGGTACAGTATGGGTACGACTATGGTGCATGGAACATGAGTGCAAACACTACCTATCTTTGCTTCTATGATCAAGCCTTATTTCAAAGTTTTGCGAGCAAACCATCGTGCAGTCATTGCTGAAGTGCCATGGCAGAGAGTGAGGCCGGTAGCAAGAAGACCAGGACACCGGGTGCCAGGATGTCACGAGCAAAACTTGGAGGTGTGACTATCCAATTGGAACCAGCGGCCTTGGAAAAGCTTGGCTTGCCTTTGGACTATATGGCTTGCAAATGTCAGCTTTGCGGTGTACTATCCAGTGCAGAATCACCATTCACTGTGGTCATCAAGGGTGCTGTTGCAAAATTTGCACCACTATGGCCCTGGGCCAATGGTACCAAGGACAAACCGAAAGGATTTGTATGTTTGAATCTTGAATGAATGGGAGAGGGTTTCGAAGTTTGCTAAGTGTTCAACACATCATTTGGCAGAAAACAAACACCAAAGCAAAATAGAGCATCTCAGGATCTGCTGCAACATCTTTACCATCGCATTTGCTGCACAGTACGGATCCGTTGGAGAATATGCAAAGATCATCATCGAAGACCCTTCCAAGAATCAAGAGCTGTGTTACCCTTAGTAGTCTGATGTTCAAATGCATGCGTGCAACTGTGTAAGGTTCTCTGACCGACCTGTTGATTTTTGCTATCCGTTCAGGATGTGCGCTCAAAAGCGCTACATTGCCAAGAAGAATGCAGACCCAGATGGGCGCATCCGTTCCAAAGAGGAGCTACGCGCAACTGTTGAGCATGTGGTTCAGCAGGAGCAGAAGGAAGAGCTTGAGGCACCAGAGCAGTTTTTTGTGGAGTTGTCCAAGCTTAAGAAGGCACCAGCCCCAGACAAGATTGTCACCAAATCCTTTGGAGGAACGCAGATGAAAGGTGTGCTTGTGTCAACTGGTCCTGCTGGATGGTGGAAGGTGAAGCACTCGGAATCAACTTCTGTCGCATCCAAAAAGACAGAGGTGTCAGAGGACTTTGACATCAGAGAGAACCAGCATGTCTTGCAGCACATCGGTTTGGCCCAGAAGAACCTGTCTGCCAAGGAGGAAGTGGGCCCCAACAGTGTCGCCATGTCATTTGATGCTATTTTGCAGGAGCTTGAAGACGATGCACAAGGCTTGCTTGCTTGAACAGTTGGGTGGGTTTTCAGTCAACATCCAAATGTTTATTCACGTTGGTTCCTAACTAAGCCTTTCATCATCATACATACTTGTTTGAAGCATTTCTCAACACTTTTGTCTTTGTTCAGGCTCCCAACGCAAGAGGCTCAAAGCCATGGTGGGGTTGGGCTCTAGTGGTGGTGTGGATGAGGGTGACTTGGAGGTCAGTGCGACCCCAGCCGCGGCTACTGAACCAGAACAACATCAAGGTCAAGGTGATGGTTCAGGGCTACATGAGTGGAATTCTGACGATGAAGTCGATGGTGGATTTGGAACAGTAGTGGTGAAGAAGCAAAGAACAACTTCCTCTGCTGCGCCAACTGCCAAGATCACTAGTACGAAGCCTACTCCCGAGCCAGGGACCAGGAGAACCACCAAACCCGATGGAAAGGGCGTCGGAAAGGGCGTCAACAGTGGCAATGGCAGGAAGCCCCAGAAGCCAGAGAAGCCGAAACAAGGGCTGGAAGAATGGGACTGCCTCGATGTAGCAAGTGTGCGAAAGTTCGAGTCAAGCTTGTCTATGATTGTGTCGAAGTGGAAGGCTTGTAACGCTGCAGACACCTCGGCAGATTTCCGTTCTTTCTGGTCAGAGCAATCTACCGAGTTGAAGAAGGTTGGTGACGAGATCAAGAGCAAAATGAAGTCTTGCAAGAGGCGCAAGGGCATGGACACACCTGATCCCGCTTTCCACAGTGTCAATAGTCTGGCACAAAGCCTTCGCAATGTTGCCAAAGAGCTTTCTTCATCCACTCCCGGTAGTGATGCCTTGCAGCCAATGGATGACTTGGCTTCTCGTTCGGACATTATCATTGAGTTCAGTGATTCCTGCTGGGTCAAGAAGGCAAAGGCAGGAGTTTGGGGAAATTAATATACAAATCAAAGAGGAGCACTGTTGTGTCTTGTTCAACATTGTCATCGTATTTGTGCAACTTCACATGATTTAGAATCAGTAATTGTTCGGATTTGTAAAACATTGTAACATTGATGGAACAGGCGGAGCTTATGGATGACTTGCGCTATCAACGGCTGGATGAGCTAGTCAGCTTCTTCCAAGGAGTTGGGCCTGTGGTAAACACACTTTCTCAAAAGGCTGTGTCGGTCAAACTTGAGAGCTTTATGGATATGGCTATGGAGCAGCTGATCCAAAAGTTGACAAGATCAATCAGCCAAAACAAGGCCTACAGTCTCTTAGTCTCTTTATCAATTTTGATATGATATAGCACCTGGAAACTGCTAGTGGGGTCAAGGCATGTTTCCTTTCATGTTTAGTTGCTTTGGAGGTGACACCAGCGGGAATCAGCCCTCTTCTCGAGTTCCTGACCAAGCTTGCTTCTTGCGATGAAGACTTGGCCATTGCTGTAAACACGTTGTCTCAGATCACTGTTTTGCAGCGTGTGCTTGACGTTGACTGCTGGAACATTCCGGGCAATGTGCTTGCTGACATTGACAGCATTCGAAAGGCTAGCTCTGAGATGAAGATCTTTGCAATCTTCAACGCACTGCCCCAAGGAGTCTTTTTGTCTTTGCAACTACAAGCACGGTGGTTTGTATCTAAGAGTTACTCAGCATGATTCTGATTTGCCAGGAGCTGCGATTCTTGCAATGCTGGAGGACAAAGCGCAGAAGTCAAATGACACCAATGTTGAGCTGCAGGGCGTTTCCAGTTTGCAGAAGGACTTGGAACAGTTCGAACAGGAGTTCAAGGACAGTTCTTTGACAGAAGACTTCTTCAAAAAGCTGAAGCCCCTACAAGATGAGTGTGCTCGACTCAGGAAGTCCAAGCAAGTGTCCAAGACCATCATGGACACACTCTATGAGAAATCCTTTACCCCTCTTCTTTGTCGGGCTGTGAGAGTGCATTGCGATGTCGAGATCAGCAGCTATTTGTCCCTTTGCACTATGCAAGTGAAAGAAGGCAAGGTATTGCCATCCGTACCAACATGGCATATCAGGATGCTGTTGGAAAGCGCAGCAGCAGCAGCAGCAGGTACAAAGGAGCTGACAAAACTCTGTGTCCTCAGCAGGTGGGGTAGACAAACATGGGGTCTGGGTCAGTGCTTAAGTTGAGAGAGCAGAAACGACAACGCTATGTGAGGTGTACCGCTGTATGTATGTATGTCTGTACATATGATATATGAATGTAGGTATGTTCAGCCAGATCTTGTGGCCAACATGACAGGTGCCATGACAGTTTGGCCAACATTGTCAAGTGCCTCCCCAAGCCTGCAAACATGACTCTCTTTGCTCAGTGCTGTGCAGCATGGAGTGATGCTGTCTCATCTTTGCGCACGATGTCTTCCTATGCAGACTTTCAGGCAGCTTTGACCAGGTTTACCACTTGCACCGACGGCATCAATGAATCGATGAGTACCAATGCAGTTGGCACCCTCATCCCTGAGATCCAGAACAGCATGAAGGATTGGATGAGCATAGAATCAACTGACGAGCTCAAACAAGTCATGAGAAGCTGTGATCCGATGGTTGAACAGTTGGAACTGCTCGCTTCCTCTGCTGATGGCTCAATAGACTCCTTCGGCAAAAAGTTTGCCCAAAACGCTCGGTTTTGGCTTGACCTGAACAATGTAGCTTCAGAATGGGTTCTATCTAAGCCAGAGACCTGGGATGTGAAGGGGCCTATCACTACAACCATCAAGAGTGGGTTGAAGCAGTTGAAGAAGTGGGGCGAGCTCATCCAATCTCCCATGCACAACAAGACCCAGTTGATGGATGTGCTCGTTGCGTGCACCCACATGGAGAAAGAGAAGTTTGACTCCTTCCAGGCATCCTTCAGTGCGGTGTTTGACGAGCTTGAGCCTACCTATGTGGAGTGTGTCTCCAGCCTGACATTCAGTCTTTAAGTTATTCTATAATTATTGTATTATACTATACTGTACTGTACTATATTTCACAATTATAAATATACAGTACATTATAATGAATCATATCATATATATATACTATTATATAGTATGCAAACTATATCTTATATTATATATTCTATATATATACTTATTTATATATTTGTTGTGTTTTCCACTGAATTGTTGCTTGGTTGGTGAATTTCACGGCGCAGGTGAAAGAATTGAAGAAATCTTTGACGGGCGTGGTGAATGGGGATGTCACCGCGCTTCGTAAATTTCAGCTTCCAGGAAATCCATACTCTGATGAGACTCAGCAAGACTACATCAAGGTCGTTGACAAGATGTTCAGTTCGGCAGTAGAACAGCTTGCGCAATCCAAGGCCAAGGTGGAGATGTTCCAGGAGCTGGCTGGTGTTGACTGCGCAGAGGTGATGGGAGTTGACGAGAACAATCTCCTCAAATCCGCCCGAGAAGTTCTAGTCACAGCTTTGCTTGCCAAGACGTTTGCATCAAAGGGCTACGCGGCCGCAAAATCTCTTGCGACAAACACCCCAGGCTACCAGAAGATCCTTTCAATTGTGAAGGCGCCCATGGATTTGATCGAGGCGCATCAGCTTTCAGTTCCAGAGGTGCTCACCAAAGAAGCAAGCGCCTTCATGGGCAGGAAGTGAGCTGCAGAGTTTGCTGTGGTTTCCTTTTCGTGGACAGGCTGAACTGCTTAGCAGTGCTTGCCTTCTGGCTCCTGTCTGCCTTTTTGTTTCGCAAATAGGGCTAACTTGGGGTTGCTGTGATGAGCTGGGTGCGGTCATATAAGGAAACTCAGCTTTATTGTTCTTTTCTTCATATTCTGCCAGCCTGCTAATCACTCGTGCTGAACCTATAAAGAAGTATTTGTCTTGACAAATTTCAAGTGCCCAGGTTCACACAAGCGTGTTCCATGCCCAAATGCCCTATTTTAATCCCAAAGGGGAATGAGGTTGTGGGCGAGGGCCTCATTTTGGAAGTGATGTGAGAGTGATTCAGCAGTAGATGATGATGTCTCGTGCCGTCCAAAACCAAATTTTTTGCATGCTGCATGGCGCATGTGCATGCTGCTGCCTAAATCCCGGATACTATGTTGACCGGTTTATATGGTTGCTGTGGCTTTGCTCACACTTAGACTGCCATGCCACCATGCCGCATGCCCAGGTAAATGAACTGGCAAGCATTCCACAGCATTGTCATGTTCAGGTCAGGATGCTGCTCACTCACTGGTTGAACTATTCATTTTTTGTGGCGGTTAGTAACTAACTAGACTGTCCACAACTGCCATGAAGCGGCCGGCTGCTGCTCCACGATCACGGGCAAGGGGGAAAACTCCAGCCACACCACCACCAGTTCTTGAAGTTCAAAGGCCTGCTAGATCCTTGACTCAAGACCTAGAAGCCATTATGGACGCTGAGGAAGGCGCGGGTCCAGAAGTTACTGCGGCCAGAGAAACTCAACCTGTACCTGTACTGATAACATCGCATGGAGTGACTCGCACAGGTGCTGAGGATCAGGATCATCATGGTCTCAATGATGGTGGACAATGTGAGGGTCAGGCAGCTAAGGCTAAGGCACGTCGTGTGATTCAAGTTCGAGATTCAAGCGAGGATGCCAATGTCAATACCAAAGAGGCCACAGCTAAGGATCCTGCTCCATCATCATCTGCTACAGGTCCGATTCTTACTTCAAATTCCATTGAGGTCGAAGCTCAGGATGCTGCTCCTTCATCATCCACTGCAGGTCCAAAGCCTGCTTCAGGATCAGCTCCAGTTTCAGTGCAGCTGGAACAACAGATACCCGATGCAAAATTGAAAACAGAACCAGGACATGACGACAACAATGTGGACACTATGAAGAGTGAAGTCCACAGTGAAGTGTTTATGTCAGATGATGAGATGGACGGACAGCTGGAACCAGAGGACTACTTGAATTCGATTGGGAAGTCAATGGTTCATGCTTTGTTGAATTCGGACCCAGAGCTATTCCAGTGCATCGTGAAGTGGTTCGAACAAAACGTTAGCATTGACATTGGCACCATTTGCACCGGTTCCGGCATGGCAGAGATCGCTTGTGAAACAGCTATGGCCGCACTAAAGGAGGTCATGGAGTCGCCAGCCCGGGTCAATGTCCAATTTGGGTGCAGGGCTTTGCTGTTCTCATAGTGTCATATCAAAATCGTGATTCTATGTGCTGCTGTTATGTTCTGTTGTTGTGCCTTTTTGCGTTAAGGGCCAGTGGCCAATGGCAGAAAACTTGCAGCCTAGGTGTGAAGTGAAAAAGAACAAGCGCAACTTCCTGATGGACACTACATTCCATGACGCCGTCAACTCGCCATGCATTTTTCAAGATGTCACATGCCTCTCTCAGGAGACTCGCAAATGTGCCGTACATGAACGTGCGTGCGTGATCCCCAAGGTTGATTTCCTGATCGCAGGAACTAGTTGCACTGGAGGATCAAAGTTGAACACCAAATGGCAGGAACTTAGAACTGCCATGGTTGAAAAGCGCAAAGACATTCAGACTGTCTCAACATTCCTGGGGTTTGTTGAAGTGTTGGGGTTGTCTGAAGCCAAGCTTGGCATCCTAGAGAATGTTACTTCTTTGGGAGATTTGGACTCACTTGGGGGCAGCACCAAGGGTGGTGAAGACAATCTGAGCGAGTTCATTCGCATTCTGGATGAGGCGGGTTGGAAGTCGAAGGTGACTGTGGTCAGAAGCGATGACTACTACTTGCCACAACGGAGGCAACGATTGTATATTTTCCTTGCCCAAGCGGCATGGCTAGTGGAGACTGGGCAAGACGAAACAGAGTTCTTCGGGAATGTGGAGCAGTTTCTCCTAGCCATGGCTGCTCCTGGCAAAGCAGAACCAGTACATCGTTTCCTTGAGGTCCCTACAAGCAGATTCGTCATAGAAGAGCTGCAGCGCCTTCAAGATATGAAGGCTGAGGCTGAGGAGAACGGCAAGACAACCCGCAACAGTACCAAGTGGGCAAGAGAGCATATGGACTTTTGTGAAAAGAGAAATATGCGATGGCCTCCAGATACGCCCGAATATCTTGAGACCAATCCGTGGTTCAAAGTTCTTTGCTTGTAATAGTCCTGAGTCATGAGTCATATTTTTTCAAATGGGGTTATATAATTATATAAAGGTCAAGGTGACGTTTATGTCAATGTCAACATCGTTCTTCATTCGTCCATTTCTTGAGAAAAAGACGGGTCTGGTCCAACCAAATTCACCCCAAGGTTCTTCCTCGACGTGACCAAGACGTGTTGATTCTTCGTTCTATGGTGCAAGCTGAAGTGGATGGGCTGCATGTTGACCAGCAGGGGATCGAACGTGCTTTACATGGGAGGTTGCTGGACACAAGCCAAAGCATTGGTCGTGGTAGCCTATCACCTGTTGATCAGTGCAACACCCTCACCCCCCACGGCACGTACTGGCTTGGTACTGAGAAAAGGTTGCTGCTAGGTCGTGAGAAGCTAAGTCTTCAAGGATTTCCATGGACAGCATTTGAGGTCCTAGGTGGACAGGAGTACAGTGAGAGTTTTCTCTCTGACCTGGCTGGCAATGCTATGTCGGGTCCAACAATCATGGCAGCATTTCTTGCTCTGTGGGCAGCCATGACAAAGGCTGAGGGGTCAGAGCAAGATGAACTCATGGCAATTTCCAAATCTTTTGCACGAGGTTTCGACAGTGTGGGATGATGTGCCATCCATTGAGGTGGCGCGTGAAACCCAAGGAGCAAACATGTGAAATGAAAAGGTGCGTGCTGCAACTGAGTTTTGTTTGACCAAGTATTGCTGTGGGGCAATCTTGTATTGTTTAGGTTCTGTGTACCAGCGTGCTGTGCGGTGTACCCAAAGCAGCATCATACCGCACACCGTACCGCAGCATACAGCATACTGTAATAGTAATAGTAATACCGCACTCTCCCAATGTACCGTGCCCATGCTAAAGCGTACCACACTCTTGCCCCAACGTGCCGTGCCCATGCACCGCACCCGGCGTCCCTACCACTGTCATGCGTACCAAACCCTTGTACCCTAGTACTGCACCCATGTCCCGCACCCGGCGTCCCCACCACCACCCTGCGTACCAAACACTGGTACCCTAGTACCGCACCCATGTCCCGCACCCGGCGTCCCTACCACCACCCTGCGTACCAAACACTAGTACCCTTGTACCGCACCCATTTTTGCACAAGCTTCAGAGTATTGCCTATGAACTTTGATAAATCATTTGCATCAAATGATTGTACTGGCATGGCTCAGTGCAGAAAACCATTCTGCTTTCAATGCAAATTCTATTTTGCCATTGCTTTCAATAAACAGTTTTTAGGATTTCAAATTATATCCATATGGAGGTATTGTTGAACACTAGTTTGATTTCTGAAAAATAAATATACAACATGGACTAAAATGGATATACTGCAGACCCCCTGAAAAAGTTGAAAAATAGAGTGATTATGTATAAACAATTGTGGACCACCTGACAAATGTACAATATGTATTTTCGACCGCCTCAAAGTTTTACACTTTTCAGGGGTCCAGTTATATCATAGCCACTCTTACATGTTTCAATTCAACAACACCTCCATATGGACATAATTTGGTACCCAAAAAAAGTTTATACTCTGAAAGCAGTGGTAAAACAACTTATTTTAAAATGTACAAGTTCAAGGGGGTCAAAAATAGATGCAACAAAGCTTGCAACATGCAAGTAAGACATAACTAAACAATGCATCAAAGGGGTCCAAACATAGTGATAGTCATAGTGATTATATATAGATACTTCTTTAATTACCCTCTCTCTGAGAGCTACTGGTGCTGGCGGTTGTTGTCGTGAAGCGACCCGAATACTATAATATTAGCTGGACCTTCAAGGGGTGTCCTGTCTGGAGATCCCCGGATAGTAGTGGGCTTCCAGCCACCCCAAACTGAAGGTGCTAGACTGTGACTTGCTGCCAAGTCTGAAGCCACTTTCGAATGCATGTTTTGAAGGAAGCACTCAGAAGCACTCAGAAGCAGCCTATAGTAGGTCTGATATGCCAAGTATACAAGTCGAGATGAAACATCACCCAACTCTCTCCAACTGCCCAAGGGGAGGTGAAAGGAGTTGGAAAACACCTCAGGACTGAAAGTGAAAAAAAAGAAAAACACACCCACACCTCAGGTCGGTGCGTACACTCTGAAAAGCCAACAAAGGGCTGAGCCACAAATCGCCCATAGGATTCAGAAGCAGAACTTGAGGTCGGCAGCTTCAACACGCATAGTCGACCTGTAGAAGAAAAACACATCTGTATGAAAGTAAAAAGCACATGATGGAGAGAAATGGTGGCCAACATCTTGGTAGATGATGCTTGCTTCTATCATTTCGGATCAAGTAGGGGTATACCCTATACAAGCGAACGTGCTCCTTTCAAAACCACAAGCTACTAAACCAACGAACACAGGGATCCTTCCGCTAAGAATGCCTCACATATCGGGTGACCCGGGTGTCTCTCATAGATACCCACCGACTTCGCTCGCTGGTAAAGCCAAAACAACGCCCGGTGGCCTCGCATTCATTGATGCAGCACACCGAATAGATACTCGACGACGCCACGCCTCACTCACTTCGGCTTAGCGACCAGGGGATCCACGCTCTAAAGGGCTGTTTTGCAGGTCGACTTATTGGGGACTCCGAGTCCAAGGGTCACTTGGAAGCTGCGGGAGAATGTTTTTCAGCATGGTCAAGCATGGTTGATGAAGAAACCAGCGTCCCTAAGCATCAAGGGACAGAAAGAAAAAACAAAGTTGATCAAAGGGATTGATAGTTTCAATCGAAAAGGATAGGTGTTTTTTATTTTTTTCGACGCCTGGCCTCTCCAACAACCTATCGACATGCATCTGAATGTTTTATACGTGTTCTGAGTTTAGAGCCTTTCCCTGCAAAGCCTATATTCTTGCTTCCATCTGAAAACCCACCATGTTCTGAAAACCGATCGATGCTTCATCTGAAAGTCATCATTTTTTTCTAGTTCGATGTCAACCACCGTTCGATGTGTGAAGACTTGTGACGAAGACGAAGACACTGTGAATTCATGTCAACTTCACAGACAGGAGTATGAAAACTGGTCCAAATTAACTATTCAACTATTCATAACTATTCAACTTCTGTCTGGAACTTGCGGTTGACTTGTGATTTTGCACAAACCTTTCGATGTGTTGAACACCTGTCGATGTGAATTGAACAGCCGGTCGATTCTTCTCATGGAAACCTGTCCTTCACCTCTAGCCAAAAACTCAAAACCTATCAAAAAAAAACAAGGATTGAAACATATTGAAACTATACCTGTCCCAAAGTCAAAGCCCAAAAAGGATTAATCAAATTATTCAAACTACCAATTGAAGGTTCCATCTGTTTCTATCACAAGATGATGCAAGATGCTTAGTATTGTTCCAAGTCCTAAAGGCCGAGGAAATGACCGCTGTGAGCAATTGGCAAATGCTGACAAAAAATGCCATTACATGGCTACCTACCTATTATTTAGCATTTGCGACCTGAAAATCCCATGGAAGAGACAAGCGGCTGTACCTTTCCTGTGCCTTTTGGACTGACATTTGGATTTGATGAAAAGAGTTTAAAACCAAAACCGAAGAAGCGACCGGGATCCTCCTCCCATGACCTGAATATAGGCTGTGCCTTTCCTGTGCCTTCCTGTGCCTTGACCACAAGAATTCCCTCAACCTTCCCTCCGAATCTGCTTCACTCAAACAGTGGCGACACGCGGAGACCTTCTGAGAGGGGCCATTCCTTTTCGCCAGGATCCGGAAGACCCGTTCGAAACAGTTGTCTGGCGAGCAAACAATGTCTGGGAATCCTTCCTGGAGAAACCCCACATTCCAACAACCAACATGCACAACTCCAAGCACGTCCCGTTAAGAATCGACACTCGACACTCTCTGCAGTTGTTTCTCTTTCAGACTCGGACGACCAAATCCGAAGACCAAACAGATTGGTATTCTCCACTCAGACTCTGATGATTTCAGGCACCCTGAGACTCTGGGCCCGAAGCGACACAAAGGGTTTAGGGTTTAGGGTCCTAACTGCCATGGAGGGCCCAAGAATATGTTAACAAACACTCGGATCCGACCTCCTCTTTCATACCCCCCTTACTTTTCTCCAAGAACCCTGCGGACATTCATTTGTATCAAGAAAATCTGGTTCATTCTGGGAGTCTCCAACGCTTCCATTCTCCGTTCATTCCACAACCGCTCAGGGCACAGTTGGATTGCGAATTCACGTAGTTCGGGATGAGCACCGCTGGATTCGAGGAGTCCGACCTCGGTGCGGCTGGATTGCGAGTCCTTCGGAGTCCGGTGTTTGTCCCAAGGCGTGGTCACCGGGAGTTCTGGCATCACCCAATGGATGTATAGACTCTTGAGACTCGGATAGCCCTCCCAATGGAATTGGACATCCTCTTCATGATTGGGTGGTTTAATCAAGAGTCTACATTGCACTCCTGAAACGATAAGAATTGGTGGTGCCCCATCGACTCCACCAATTCCCATAACTATGTCTATCGAAATGAAATCCCAGAAGCTTACACTGGATAGGCGTTTGTCTGGTGAGTTGGTTGAAAAGCCAACCGCGGCCACACCATATCGTGAAAATGACCAACCCTACTGCAAGAGGCCCTGTGACTTAAACTATTTTATCCCAAGATAATATGGGTGTGTATTAGAATAGGGAGACCTCCAAAGAAACCCACTGGAAGAAGGAAAACAAACCAAAATCCCAAATCCAATGGTTGCGAGGCCCCTCCAATTCAAATACTATAACCCATCTAGAAACATCCATCCATGTCGGCCGGAGTCCGATCGTCAGACGTTTGGAGTCCGATCCCTTCATCCCCCGAGAGTCCACGCCTCGCCTTGGTCCACCGCGAGCCGCGTGTGCCTGCGTGCCCGACGTTGGTACCTACTCTCCGGGAGCTCCGCACTGGTCCAGCGAACCCCAGCTCTTGCAAATACTCCACCGATTCCGAGAACTGCCTCGGATCCAACGGCCCGACCGGGGTCGGGTCCGCGGGCTGGGGAAGGTAGAAGATGGATGAATCGAAGATCCCCAGATTTGGAGTGTAAAACCATGTAAATGTTAAATCCTCTTCAGGCCTGCGGGGATTGAAATACTTAGAACTTCTTCTTGGCACTTCTTAAGGTGGGGAGTGGGTGACATGAGTCTCAGTAGGACGGCAAGCGTTTGTTTTCTCAAAACAGTTCATCAAATTCTGCTCTGCCTCTTGCATGTAATGCATTGAATTGTCCCGGCTGCAGCTTTGGTCTTCTTGCTTTCAAACCGGCGGAATTTTTCAGTTGGGCGGAAAGTGTTGCCTAATGAAGATTTCCGGTATAATCAAGAACTCGAACTCTAATTCATGTCGGAAGGCGCCTTTGTCCGAACAAACCCCCTCGACTTGTCAAAAACAAAAAGGATCAAACAGATGCAGCAAAGTCGAGCTAAAGATAGTAAAGGTTCCTCAACCAAAGGCAAACATGGAAACGAACTGCTCAGCGCTGCCTTCCAAAATACAGCTCGTTCTGCTCGTTTCGACATGATTCGACTTGATTCTCAGCATTTGCCTCTGCAGTCTGTTGGTCAGTTGCTTTCCTCGTGTCCAAGGCGCCAATTGCCGTCCAGAGCCGCGCCGTAGAAGTCCTAGAGATGGGTGCGAGTCGAACAATTCTGAGAAAAAGCCACCCAGAATGGTGTAGAGTGTAGAATGGTTTAGATATGCTTTAGATCAGGCCGTGCCCCAGGTGCTTCTAACTGATCCCAGGTGGTTCTACTGGTTTAGATATTGGTGAACACGACGTCGTTCTGATGGAATGTCTTACGACCACTCCTATGCACTGCTCCAGTCCTTCGCGCCGAAGCGAGCCGTTCCCCCTTTGGCGTCCGGTCCCCGTTCGTCGTTTCGTAGGAAGCTGCATGATGCATGATGCATGCCTGGGCTTACCCCGTCCCAAGCAGAAATAAATGGATGCTTCCCCAGCCATTTCTGATACAGGATCTCAAATTATGGCCATATTGGAACAAGCCCTCAGTTTCTGGGACTGGGTTTCCAGGTGTGGGAAATGACAAAAGTTCCGAGTGCCGATTCATGCTAAAAGCTCCCCCGCCGCGGGAGCGAGCAGGCCTTCTCCTTCAAAGGCTGTTATTACATCTCGTGGTCCATCAAAGTACCCGCCAATTGCAAACTTCTGCAGCCGTGCCACAAATATAGATCTGAATATATGATGTGGGATTTTCTCCAGCGAAGTGTCCACCAAAAAGTCTCCGCCGCCCTCCTTGCCCCTCCCTCCAGCCTCCCTGAACCGTCCGTTGCTGGTGATACCCGACCGTTCGCTTTTCACGCGGCGTCCACGGGAGGTTGGTGGTAAAGAGACACCCATTCGATCCCGTTACAGTTTGACCCTTTGAAACACATGGTCACGGGGTTGATCCTGGTCTTTTGTAGTTAGAAGTCCTGGGAGGTGTGGACGGCAACCGCTTTTCGGACGGCAATAGGTATTCTTCAATCCCTAACACATATAAATATAAATATATATAGGGTTGGGGAACCGGGTCCGTTTTCCCCTGTGAAGAGGGAGAAGGTCCGGCCCATGGGAGTCCAAGTCCAATTTCTTGTCCTCAGTGTATGTCTTTGGGACTTCTAGAGGGAACTTAAGACAAGCTATACGTAATATATGCATGAAAAATATCTGATATCGGGTGTCCGTCGATCATCTTTGATCTGACAATGATCACTCAGCCAAAGGCGTTCGTACAAAAGCTTTCGGCAGCTTCTGAACCGCATCTTTACATACACCCCCCCCACGTCGCACGGCGGTGCCACGGGAACTACGGGAACCGTGCGCCCTAAGGCCCTAAGGCAGGTTTCACCAGCATCGCATCGCACAAACTCGTGTCCAGTCCTTGAGAAGGACTCGTCCCGTGCCTGCATTCTCGTACTTGGAAAGTAGACCTGGCTCCCGGTCGTGGCAGAACTGCCGTCGAACCCGGTCCGGGTTCGACCCGACGGGTTCGCGCAGATTTGGAGACGACGGAGCACGAACCCATCTCTTGGATGTCGATAGGTTCTTGGCTAGAAGGTTTAACCTTTAGTGTGACCTAGCCTTCAAAGACCATTGAAAGGTATTAAAAGAATGGTTGACCATGGTTACTACAAACTTTGTAGTGTATAAAATCCTTAGCAAAACAACAGCTCGATAGAAAAAGACCAAGATGTTGGACTTCCTGGGTCCACAGGGTGTGGTTTGAGAAATCTTCCATACAAACCAAAGCTGGACCGCACGAGTGTACGAGTCTGCCTGAGACAGTCATTTCTGAGGCTCTGATGAGGCTCTGATCTGGTCTGATCCCTACTTGGAAGCTTCCATGACGCGCCTGGGTGATAGATGTTCACTAGCTATGTTCACTACTACTCTGGTTCTGCGATCGTTTTCAGACCCATCCTCTGAGTGGACAGTTGGCATATCGGAACTCGATGGAACTGGACTGTCGTCAAGGGACGGACGACACCAATCCAACTGAATGGGAATATGTTCACCGGTTGCATTGCCTACATTGGCGGTTGAGCTCCGATGTAGACATCTTCACTTCTGCAGTCCCACCGGTCGTATCTGGAAGGATCCATTTGGCCCGGCCCGGCATCCACCGTTTCGACGAGTCGCCGGAATGGGCACGACCCGGGACTGGAAACCTCCGGTCGAGGTGGTTCAGAGTGGTTTCCTCCCCGTCCCCCACGCATCTTCCTCCGTCTACCTCTTCCACCACCCCACCCGCCCTTCACCGAGGCACGCTTCAGGTCTCGGCATTCGGCGTCCTGCCAGTGGCCATAGCGCTCCCCGATCTCCTGATCCCAAGAGCTGGGGCGCTCTTCTAACGACCCTTCCAAAGAGCTCGGGCAACGAGCTGCTTTTCCGTATACACTGAAGATCCGTACAAACCATGGGGAAAGACTGTTCAATGACCGTTGAACAAAGAAGAACGTTGGAATGGACAGACTCCCCGGGGTGTTCCGCGTTTTCCAAGAATGGCCGACCCGAGCTGGACAACTGGTCGTTTTGAGTAACCTGTCTGTTTTCTCATGGTGAGATGATCCGTTTGATTCGGTTTGGTTGAACTCTTACACCCGAAACCCCGGGCCACTGCAGCTGAAACGAGCAATGAGGTGAAAGGATGATGCAGAACGTACCTGGACCGGAAAAAAGGGGTGTTTAAGAGAACAGTGCAGGGGCTTCCATTGGTGGCCCGTTTGAAGGTGGTATCAGGTGCTGGTAGAATGTGCAATGTTCAACATAAATATAGAGTCTTTGGCTGGGTGCTGCAAGTCAGAAGCACAAAAGGAGAACAGCTGTGACAAGAATGAAGCAACACCGACACCGACACCTTCCACGACGGAGAATACGTCACGTCGGTGGTCCCTCCATCCGTCAGGTCGATTTGCCGCTCGGCCACCCAGTGGGATTGTTCAAAGTGAATGACAATCCCATTTAACCATGTTACAAGTGCTTCCCGGTAAAGGTCGCCTTTTAAACGTATTTAACCTAGCCTTTACCATACAAACTAGCAATATACAGTATCTACAATGTATAGATCATGCCATGGTCATGCTCACGCCAACCTCTTCTTGAAAAACACGTGCCTCCACGATCTGCGTGGCCGTGTCGAAGCTGAAGTTTCCGGAGTTGGACTGGCAACGATTCGAAGGCGGAGCCAAAACACCTTCACCCGCTGGGATGGTGTCTAGAACGAAAGAGTCACTCTCGCGCGCCGAGCGTCACCATGGCGCCGACCCGGTTTGGTCCACCGAAGATGAACCGGAATGGACTACTGAGGTCAACCAAACAGGGTTTTGCTGGCTCCAGGAGTCGTCAACCCACAGCCCTGTGGGTCAAAAGATCCGGCAAGGGCGGAGCTCAAATGAGCAGATTCCTGGGTTTGTTCGGTGAGGTTTTGACTGTAGCCCACCTACATGGAACCTCCCAAAACCGCACGCAGAACCAAATGCTGGGGGATGAGTTCTTCCACCCATCCAGGCGCAGGCTGTTCCTTCTGTTTTCAGCAAGGCTTCAGTCCCCCCGGCCGCCCACGCCGGCCTTGGCCAGGACATCCGAGCGGACGCCGATGGTGAACTTCCGAGTGCTCTGCCAACCAGGATAAGTCTCCACCTCGACGACTCGAGGGTCTTCAGGGTGGGTGGAAGAACTTTTAGACCCCAAGGGAGGTTGTTGTAGTGGTACATGTGGGATGGGCGAAAAGGGGCGAGCCGAACAACCTCTCTTGGCCTGAGAAAGTACCAGTGGAGTTCTGTTTGGGATCTGTTTTCGGCAGTTTTAGGATGAGTCTGCTTTCGAAAAACAACTGGTGAATTATAATGACCTGATGACCTGAGAGTGCGGTCGCCTTCTTCGGGTTTCGTGTGCTGAGAGTCTGTCTTTCGGAACCTCTCGACCGTCCTTACGAACCACAGGGCGAATGGGATTTTCGCAGGAAGCCGTCTAAGAGTGGGTGGTTCCAAAATCCGTTCGAAACCCCCGCTGGAACGGGCTTAGTAGGAGCTAGAACATTTCCTGCCCACCTTCATCCACTCTGTATATATATATAAATGACGCAGTGCAACGCAAATTGTTCAAAAAAAGAGGGTATGTTAGAACATACCTTGCAAGGGTATTTAAGAACATAAAATAACAGGAGAATCGTATTTTAGAACATAGCTCTTAGAAACATCCATGATAGTGTTACCAAATGTTCTAAGTATTTACAAGATGTTCTAAGAGTATGTTCTAAATTGCTGTTCCTCCCAAGGCCCCCCCCTCTCCCAGGTCCTTTTTCTCCGTCTCCCCCCTTCCAAGCTCATATATATATATATGTACATGCACCCCTTATGTATACATCTTCATGTGTGGATGGTCGTGGTGCGTGTTCTATGTTCTTTGTTCTGCAGCTGATTGAATGTGTGTTTTCTGGCATGTTTCCAAAACCACATGGCACAGCGACATCACCTTTCCAAAGCTTTAGTGGATTGTCTAATGAAGAATCACTATTTAAAAAAAAAGTTTTGCAAAGGGAAAAGGAAGAACCCTTTGATCTGGAAGGTTTTTTCAATTTTTGATACGAGTTTAATAAATGATGTTATACAAAATCTTCCTGGGTGACTTTTCGGTTTTGAAGCTCTTCCCAGGTTTCCGCACAAAATCTGCACTTCAAGCTTCACAAAGCGCTGCGCCTGCCAGGAAATCTGCATTTCATATATATATATATATAAATATAGTATGTATGTATGTATGTATGTATGTATGTATGATGTATGTATGTATTTTTTTCTCCTGAAGTTGAAAGTGCGGGGTTTGGCGCCATTGGCCGGTCGGTCTATGGCTCTGCTGGCCTCAGAAGTAATCGACGTTGATTTCCGGATCATGGGCCTGCTCGGTCTCCTCCTCGGCTTCTTCATTGCTCGAGGGCATCGCTTCATCAGCAGCTTGTGACACGGCCGAGAATCGGAGCTTCTTGGGCACTGGAGGTGAGAGTTCGTCCGTACCCTGTGCAGCAGGTGCCATAGGACCAGGCTTTGGCTGGGTGTCATGGCCGGTGTTGTGACCTGTGGTGGCCGGTGGTGCATCTGCAGCTGAGCTGTGTTTGGGCCGTTGTGGCTCTGTCACCCCTTGGCTGGAGGGACTTGCTTGACTGAAGAATTGCGCGAGAGTGGGTGAGGTCGGTTTGTGACCTTTGCACTCTCTCTGGAGCCCTTTTGTGAGAATCAGGCGGTCTTGAGCATCAAGGTGGGTGTGTAGTCCACATCCTTTGCATTGGATGCCCTTGCCGATCTGCCACAATGTGTGTGTCCCATGGGCAGTGTGCTCCTGGGAGAAGGGTGCATCAATGCATGTGCTGTTCAGGAACTGATTGAACAGCTCTTCATTGGCCCTTTTGTGGATGGCTTGGTTGCATTTGGTGCACTTCAGGTAGCCAGTGGTTTCCTGGAAGTGATGAACCTCTGGCGTGGTTGGATGTTCTTGTTGAAGCTGAAGCAGAGAGGCAATGCGGCTCGCGCGGGTTGGTTTCTTCCCAACTGCTCTACCAGGTGGTAGGTCAGGTTCCGGGGCGGGTGCTGTGAGTTGTGCACAGTCTTCCTGGAGCCGTTCTTCAATCATGGAAGCAGCCCATCCCTGATGAACGCGGGTTTGGCAAGTGTGACACTGGTAGCCGCTTCGGTGGGCCTTCCATTGGTGTTTGCCCGGTTGCCATGGCTGCTGGCACTGGGCGATGAGGTTCTTTTTCCTCTGTTTGGTCTTGTGGCCAACAGCTCGCCCAGGTTTGGTGTGCAGGTAGTGGTCCTTGTCGTCGTAGATTTTGGCCAATCGAGCTGCAGCGTGTTTGTAAATCTCAAGGTGGTCTTGGTCGAGGATGCGCTGCCAGGCTTCTTTGTCTGGGTTGTGGATGCTGGTTGCCCGTTCCCATGCCGCCAGGGCTGCGTCCCTTTGTCTCTGGCGTAAATGGGGTTCGTTTCCGGGGGCGTCCGGGGTCTTGTGGTTCTTGTGGATGTAGAGGGGTGTGATCAGAGTGAAGTACTCTGCAGGTTGCCCCTGGACCAGATCATGGAAGCCCTTCCTTTTTGCCGGGTTGGTCCAAGCTTCCCAGACCGAGCTCACCTGGACAATGACTCTGGTTGGTGTCTGGATGAAATGGGAGCCCTTGGAAAATGGCTCTGGCTTTCGTCTGTGGTCCCCTCGCCATGCCAGTGATGGTGCCTTTTCGTTGCAGGGCTCCCAGTGAGTAGCCGTGAATGCAGAGGGCGTAGATCCATGCTTGGGCTCTTTTGTCTCCGGAGGTGGGAGTGGCATCAACCGTGACTGAGAGCCCTTGCCACGGTTGGAGTGGAAGTGGTTCAAGGGACTGCCAACAGCCATGTCCTTCCAGGTCCAGTGGTCGATGGAGATGATCTTGTGGTTCTTTTGGTATCCACCCGTATGCCCAGAGGGGTTCTTCCAGCGGATCGTGCAACCTTTTGGTCCATGGCACTGGAAGGGGCTGGTGCTTTTGGTTGTGGTGCCATTTGCAAAGCCACACGATATGTTTCGGTGTAGCTGGAACTTGACAAAGGGGACATTGTTTGGTGGCGGTGTCATCTTTGAAACGGATGGCAGCTTGGTTCCAAGTGCGGATGTGGTTGGCCTGGATCTTGCTGAGGTGTTTGGTGACTTTGGATGCCGTGGTCCAGTCTATCCCGCTGACAAGGGCTTGACAGTTGCGTCTGCTGGCAAAGCGATGCTGCCGCGGTTGTTTGGCCTCAGCTTGGAGAAGCTCCTCAACCTGCCACCATGGTTGGTGAAGATCAATGTGGGCTTCAGTCATGAAGGCAGTCTCATTCCGGTGCCATTCATAAAGGCTGTCAGTGCGCCACCCCCATTCTTTGAGATAGGCCAGTGTCGCGGCCATGGACCCTTTGACGTGGTACCAGTGGTACTGCTGTTGTCGTAGCTGAGTTTGCAGTTCCATCCATGCCCGTTCAACATGGGGTAGGTGTTCCGTGGGCCAGTGTGTGATGAGGGCGTGGAGGGCCTGGACATGTTGGATGACCACTTGGTCTGAAGGGTCCAGGTATTTGGTCTGGTTCTGGTCGTAGATAACGTGAGTGAGTCCTCCGGAATGAAGGCCAAGATGGGTAGCCAGAGCCTGCCGAAGGGCCTGCCTGTAGCGAGGAGCCAGTCCCTGGCCTTCGACTCCCCACAAAGCTACAGGTTGGATGCCTCCTCGATGGAGCCGAAGCCTGGTACGGAGATTGGGAAGCCGCAATGTGCGCAGCTTGATTCGACGCTGCTTGTTCTTCTTGAAGCGGTTCTGGAGGGTGCTGATGCGGCGTCTCCGACCAGCTTGGTGATCTATCCCGAGATCTCGCATGACCGATTGGATAGGAGGATCATCGGGGCCAAGGAGTTTGGCCAATGCTTTTTGGGTGGCTCTGTCTGTGACTATAAATGCTGTTTTGTGGTTGTTGACTTTGAGGCCAACTTCAGTGAGTTGCGACCGCAGTTCATGCCAGGCCTGCACGATGCGGGTGGCCAGCGTCTCAGGATTGGAATGGCTGCCATCGAAGCCAATGTCATCGACCCATCCATTGAGGTGCAAGTCTGGATGTTTGGCTTGGAATGGGCTGAGGATTGGTTGGAGGTAGGCTTTTGCCAACAGTGGAGCCTGAGGGCATCCTGCAGCAACCCCATGGGTGACATGGAACCAATGGCTGAGCTCGGCGTCTGCCAGCACTGCTTTGGGCCCTGTGTAGACCTGCATCGCAAATTCCAGTGCTAGTGGTGGGTAGTCCAGTGCTTGTGCCACTGACTGGAGCTTCGTGAGGTTGATAGTGTCATAGAAAGTGCTCATGTCCAAAAGGACGGTGCTGCCGTGGTGTGCCAATGTTTTGTTGCTTTTCTTGGCGGAGTAGCCTTTCGAGAGCTACATGGAGTGCAGTCGCGCCAGGTCGTGCTCTGTCATAGTTCATGGATGGAGGCAAGTTGAGTTGCCAGCTGTCAAGGATGCTCTTGCGGAGCCGGCACCAGGTGCGGTAGAGGACGCTGGTGAGGGTGATTGGTCGCTCCACCTTCTCGTTTTTGGCCAACATCACGACCAGGCTCATCTGGAGTTGGGTTGGCATTGTGGCTGCTTTCTCCATGTCCTGGAGTAGTTGGAGCAACGTTGGCAATGCCTGAGGTGGTGTGTTCCTCAGGAGCTGTGTGCTGATGGCGTCGGGTCCACAGGCTCGGTCAGGTAGTTGTTTGAGGACCCGGGCCAGGTGGCCGATCGTGAGTGGCGGCAGTTGGGCAGCTTGACGTTGGGCACTGGCCTGGAGAGAGTCCCTGACCAGGGGTTGGTTGTCATGGGTGGGCTGCCAGTGCTGGTGCCACTCATGGAGCCTATGTCTCACTCGGTCGGCCATTGGGATATCGCGGTATGGCCGTTGCCAAGCTATCTCACTTGCTTTGAGGTTCCTGAAAAGCCCTCGAAGGCCTTTGGCTTCGCCTTGTCGGATCCAGGCAGCGTATTGAAGTTGACCCTCAGTTCTGGATTGCTCAAGGGCCTGGGTGAGCTGATGTTGGATGGTGTTTTGCATGAGCTCCAGCGTGCGGGGATCTTGGTGGTAGTGCCAGTGCTGTGTCATGTCCAGAAATTGGGC